CTTAAAACTTTGCAATACTGTAACTATTTTAACAAAAAAACACATGTATATATTTTTAATACCAAACAAAAACTATATATACTATAAATATGGCTGCGCAAAAAAAATAGCTTCCAATATGTGCTGTATAAAATCATTTGAGATAATGAAATAACCATGCTTTAAATTATATAATTTATAAATAGAAAAAAAAACTGAAATGCTCTGTTTTCTTTCAAGAAAAATCATATCTTCCTAAGGGCACTGTAAACAGAGTTTGCATGAACCATGCTCTATATTTCAATGAAATTGTCACAGAAACATAGTCCATATTTCATTAAAATTGTCACAGAACCATGGTCTATATTTCATTTAAATTGCCACAGAACCATGGTCCATATTTCATTAAAATTGTCACAGAACCATGGTCTATATTTCATTGAAATTGTCACAGAACCATGGTCTATATTTCATTAAAATTGTCACAGAACCATGGTCTATATTTCATTGAAATTGTCACAGAACCATGGTCTATATTTCATTGAAATTGTCACAGAACCATGGTCTATATTTCATTTAAATTGCCATAGAACCATGGTCCATATTTCATTAAAATTGTCACAGAACCATGGTCTATATTTCATTAAAATTGTCACAGAACTATGGTCTATAGTTCAATAAAATTGTCATTGAAACATGATCTATAATTCATTGAGACCATGGTCTATATTTCATTGAAATTTTCAACAAGGTGCAGGGTTCATTTGTCTAGAAATTGACTAATTGAAAGCTTGCCTCTCTTAATTTATTTATTAAAAATTGTTGAAAGGGTGTAAAGAGAAATTACAAGTTAATTAGTTCTTAGAAGTAACTGTTTCTAACAAATTTTGATTATTTTGTAATCTATGTATAATGTTTGAAAAACCAAAACAAATCTTGAATTGAGACAGCTTAATTAAAGTTTGGTCTCAATAAAATTTAATAATCAAATAATATGATATATAAAATGATATCATAAATAAATGTGATATTTCAAAGAACTTTTTTTTCTCAAATTTTCAAGTAAAGAAACAACACAGAGTGGAAACTGTTTGACTAACTGAACATTGATAATATAAGAATATAAATCATAAAAATAATAATTTATCCACCTTTTCCTTTTGAATCTACAGGGAGCAAAACAAAAAGCAAAAATTTACATTACTGAACTTTCTTATTATAATAAAATGTTAAAATGTTTTATCTTTATTTTCTATTTTTATTTTTTTCTATAATTTCACACATCAAAGTCCACACAAAATCATAAACACATGCGTACACTCTCACACATTCAAATTTCTAAACTTATATAAAGAATGAGTGTTCACTTGTAATAGCAAAACTGACATAACTTGTTTATTTAAGATAACAAAGTTACAACAATTTTGCATTGATCTCTAATTCTGATATAAAATTTATAAAAATTCTTTTAAAAAAAATAAATTTCTGAATATTTCATGCGTTTTTTTTCTTTTATAATGTTTTGTTTTTGTTTGTTTTTTGCATTATTTTTTGGTTTATTCATATTAAGCAAAATGCAAGAAAAAAAGAACAACCTCATTTCACAGCAAATTGAGGCAAAAAAAACACAAAATGGTGTATTCACCTCTTCGGGCCTGCGAATCTGTGGCCGCGGCAGCTAGCCAGACCAAAATATAATAAATGTTAAATTATATCTTTTTGTTTTTAAAAATTGTCAAAAACATAAAAACATATCAGTTCCATTTTGATAATGAATTATATAATACATGTAAACTGATATATAGCTGATTTTCTTCTCTCTTTTTCAGGAAAAAATAAACGGACATCTTTTTTCTTAATTTTGTTTCATGTCATTTAAAATTAAATCAAATTACAACTGCAAGCATTAATTCATCATTTATATTAATAGTCTTAAACTTAATTTCTATTATTTCAAAATTTTCACAAATATTGATGTTTACCAAAAGGTTTTCTTAGAAAGATTTCTAATTGTGTGATACTAGGGGTGTTTAAAAACACCATGATAAAAGTGCTCCCATTTCTAGAGTATAGTAAATTACTAATTCACACTAAAAAAATAAATTAGAAACCAAACATTTCTTGACATTTCAGATATACAATGGATCATTAATATTACAAGAAGATTAAAACTTTAATTTTTACCTTAAAGTCCCATTACATTTTCTGTACTACCTTTTATTACTAGTGTTATTTCATATTTTACTCAGTTGACAAAACGCAAAAAAATCAATTTCTATGATAAATGATGCAGATGAAAATGACTTCAGTATTATAAAGCATTTCTATGAAAGCTTGTTTTCATTTTGACATTTTATCAATTTACCATTACCATACCATACTGTATCTGTTTAATCCTTACCATACTAAATATCTAAAATGGACTTGTCAACCTGGACTAAACCATTCTTCATTTTGATAGATAATTTCAAAATAAATCTATGTACTGACTAAAAAGGGAACACTGCGGACCATAATCAGAGGGCATGGATATGCCCCCCTATTCTCTACCTTTGTCCGCACTAGTTACAATAGAAGATTCAATTGCTGCTTGCAGACTAAAAGACTAAAGCTTAAAAGATATCTTTTGAGCTGACAATCTTTCGTTGAAGGCATATCAATATCATTATACAAAACCTGAGCAGACAACATAATAGATTAGTCTCTTTAAAGTTTATACTAGTTTATTTTAGTCTGATTGTGATGAAAGATATAAGCTTATTGAATCAGTCTTGAATCTGTTCAAATTCTTTCCTGGATGGAACCAGTACTAAGCAATGAGTGTAAAGTTTCTTGCTCAATGAAACAACAGCTTGCCCCTGACAGGGTTTGAACCCACATGGCTAGCAATCTTTAGATAATCAGTCTGACATGTTAACCATATGGCCACACCACCACTCTTTGTTGATGGCATCAGGTCAATGATTATTGTTGTGAGATTAACTGAAGTTATTGAAGTTTAAAATATATTGCCTTGAAATTAGTATGGTTGGTTGACCATTAAAATAGAATGCTCCACAATGAAACAATTATAATTGCATTATTTATTGTTTATTCTGTTACTAGGCTACTGAAGTCATTTGTAGAATCTCAGGATTCAAAGGTCACAGATGACTTCCCACATTTGTCTCTGTGGATTTTTGCAGGTATATTCAAATACAAGGGTAGGTAATTCCACCATACTCAGACACCATTTAGCTGAGTTAGCTTCCTTGCATAAAAAAAGAATTTTCTCAATTTGGGAAACAAACTGATAAATAGAATGAGAGATGAAATTTTTTGAGTGAGGAACCTTAACCATTGAACAACTAAGTCTCCCTATTATAACATGTCTTAAAATGTACCATGTGACAATGTGACTATTCAAAAACACAGTGTGTAAGAAACAATATTAGATTCTAAATTGAATGTGAAACATTAGGACAGTCTGAGCATTGACAAAGAAAGTGAGCTCAGACTGGGTTAATAAAAGTGATATCATTAAAGTGTGTGTATTATTTAACCCTTTATACTTCTAAATTTGTATTAAGAATTTCTTTTTATTTGAGTTTTATATTGCCGAATCTGATTTTGACTTACTTGTCCATTTTTATGTGAAGCATTTCTTAACTTGTCTGTATGATGATATTCGTACAGTAAATTCATGAAATTTTATTCTTGTCTGCATAGACGGTGAGAAAAGCTGGGCAATAACGGACAATTGATTTTGCCGACCCTGACTTTATAGATGTACAGGACTGGTTTAAAACATTATACCAGTGGCAAATTATAAGGTAAGTTACTAACACACTTTATAAATACAGACACTTTATCTATTTACTTTCTAGTTAATATAGCCCTAAAAATCATTTAAAAAGCAACAATTTAAAAATAGTAAGTAAGAAATTTGAGCACTTTATATGGTATTTTTTCACACTTCTGGAACCCTGTATAACTGACATACAATTAACAAGGAACCTAATGAAACATGTCAAATGATATTTGCGATCTGTCATTTCACGTCCGCATTGAAATGATGCATTAAAATGGATTATTATTATTTTAATTTAATAAATAGTTATTGAAAATTTGTTAAAATAATTCTATCAATACTTATGTGACATAAAAATATGCAGTTTGTGGATCTCAAACCTCACAATTGGTCTTCCAAATAATAAAATTTGGTAAAATAAAGAGAAAAAAAATGAAATTTTAATATTGATGAAAATCAATTAAAGCAATTATCATAATGGATTTAAACTGTACTTTAAGTTAGGTTAAAGTTTATCAGTATGTATTTACAAAATTAAATTGGTCAGGCGCGGCACACATTTAATTTTGTAAATACGTACTAATAAATTTCAACCAGATTTAGTGTTTTAAATTATTTTTATAAACAGCCGATTTACTAGACTGATTAACAGTTAGCTGATTTACCAAAGTGTTACGATTCATTTGAAATTCTGCAATCGTATTGGACAAAAATATAATTTCAAGCACTAATTGGATTGTAGTTCTTTATGATAAATGAAATAGCAGGAGAGGTGAATACAACAAACAAATGTGTCAATCTAAAGAGAAATACCAGTTTTAATCATAAACCATGTGTGTAATATCAATTAAAACTTATCTAAAAATCTTGTTATTGAAATTCCATTCATGCTGTTTAGATATTTTGAAATTTTTGAGAAGCAAATTTTATTTACTTTTTTTTTTCTTTTTATTTTCAACATTTTTTAAATAGTTTTCTTTCACAAAGTGAACTTCATCATTTAAATCACTATCAAAACAAGAAATATTGTAAATTTTGTGAAAAAAAAAAATCATGGCATCCCATAAGTCAATGCTTCCCAAAAATCATAATAACAATTTATGCATGCACACATCAAATCTTAGTGGTCATGTCGACCTATTACATTTTTTTATTCAAATACTACCATCTAAATGAATCATTTGTACTCAAAGACAAAATTAAAAAAACACAAAAAAGACAAAATATTCACCTTTCTTTGCTCCTGCTTTGTCCTCCTTTTCTTTCTTTCCTTTACTTTTCTCGTGTTTATCGTCTTTGTCCTCTTTTCCGCCTTTCCCGTCCTAACAAACAAATATTTTTTCAATAAATCTGTAAATTTCTAAAATTTTAAAATTTATGTTTTAAGGTCTTCGTCCATAAAAGCTATTATTTTTAATAAATTTATATGAGCTTCTAATACTGAGCTTCTAATACTATCAGCTTCTAAGGTACATATGAAATATGGTGTGCAGATACATTGGTTAAAATTTCATTTTATTCAACAACTGATTTTCAATTTTATGCTCAAAATAAAACTGATAAAAAAAAAATCAAAATCAAGACAAAATTATAAATTTTTGTAAAAAAACATCATCACAAGTGTATTAAATTTTAATTTCATTAATAATTATTTCTAGAAAAGAAAATGCACAAAAATAATGTGGCAATTCAACCTTGTGAACTTGTGAATTAATAAGTTTAAATATGTTAAGTTTGTTATTACATTATTACATTTTTTGTTATCCTAAAATAATACCAAAACATGTTTCATTTCATTAAGATTTTTGTTACATCTGTATAAATCGACATCAATCAGATGAAGGTTTGATAGAGGCTGGAACTGGTAGAGGCTAAATAACCTTAAATAGCACTGGTGTTGATATGATGTTAAATTGCCTTCAGTAAATTTCTCTAAATTTGATCAATTTTAGGTGATTTCAATCTCCTACTAATTTTTTATAGTGGATCTAAAGTAATATAAGAGTACAACTGATTAAACTGGGTTATATAACATATAAAAAAATCTTTAAATTTTTTAGTTTAAATTTATGTTTTTAGCTGGATTGTGGAATAAGTTCTTGCAATTTATATAGATCATAGATTTTCAGAATCTGTTTTCCTGGAACCTTGAACCAGTAATGGTGTCACTTGAGGAAATATGGCCACAACCGAAGTAGGGCTCAAACCAACTGACAATCTCTGGGTTGAGAGGCAGACACCTTAACCACTAGGTCTCTGCTCTGGTTTTGATGAAACATATTTATAACTACCACTAATTATACCATATAATTATGACCCCTGGGAAAGATATAGCATAACCTTTAAGCTTACAAGAATAGTTTCCCATATTTTCATGTTGATTAAAAGAAATGTTGTCCCTGAACAAATTTTAAATCAATTTTCATGTTTTGTTTTGCATTTTCATTTGAATGTAAATTTTTTTAAAAAATGCCACTTTTCTATTGGTTGATTTTATATCTGTTATTTACATCAACCAATCAGATTTCATCTTAAATATACAGGTTATAACTTTGACATGGAAATTAGTTATCACGTCAAACAAGTTTTTTAAAAACACAGGTTACAAAAACGTTACCTTCTTAGCCTTGGCAGATGGTTTCTCATTTTTCTTACCCCCCTTGTCCTGATGGGTGCTACTTCGAACACTGCCCGGCCTGTCCTTGGAGTCGGCCCGACGGCTGAGTGGGGGCTGTGAGAAGTGAACATATACATGTGAGGTGAAAAACAGACAACACCAAGTGTTCCCATGCAAATTAAAGGCAAGAAATTTGCAATATCAGTATGTGCATTGGTTTTTTTGTCTGATTTTGTTTGCTATTTAAATAAATTTTATCATATTTCAATTATTATTTTTTTACACATTCGATAATGATGTCAAAAGGGAAGGCTTTTGCTTTTGTTGTTACTTTACATTTTATTACAGAGAGGTTTGGGTCCAACAAATTCCAAATTATTGCAAAAGATACAATATTTTTTTTCTTCTGGAACATCTAAAAAGTTTTTTGAAACATTAAAAGATTTTATTTACCAACAATGATCATATTATATGTATACTGATATTACATAATAATAACTTGCCTCTAATGATAAATTATTAAGTTGAGCTGAGATCAATATTTTTGAACAGTTTAATTCTTCTTTCAGTATTATCTTTAAGAAAGTTTATTTACAAAAAATTTTGGTCATTTCTGTGTACATTTTCTAATTTCTGTCCAATTTTATTTATCAATTTGTAACTTTTCAAATTTTTGTTTATCAAAAATTTTACTTTCAATATCAAAGAAAATGTAATGAGAAAAGGCATGTCATTGGCTTATTTCAATACAGAGTTAAAAATAAACAACCAATCAATGAGAAAAGTCATGTCATTGGCTTATTTCAATACAGAGTTAAAAATAAACAACCAATCAAAGATGAGAAAAATCAGACATGCCAAAAATGTACTTTTATCATTAATTATACACTTGAAAATTGTAAAATTATAAAATATACTTTACTACAGCAAAGTCAAAGAATACAACTGATTTAAAAATATTGTTATCAGCTCATGAATTATTATGTGAAAGTTGTTCAAAGTGAAATTAGACAAAAAATTAACAAGGCACGGTATTATTATATATATATACGGATAATTCTTGGGCTTGACACAAAGAAAATATTACCACCTATTAAACCTTCCATATTAGCATATAACCAACAGAGAATACAGTTAGTTAAAAAATATCAAAATTAAACACTTAATGTCCCATATCATTTAAGAAAAAAAATGATCAAGTTTTTATATTAATACGGGGGAATTTTAGTTATTGCATGACAAAATTTTTCAACACGGAAAACAAAGGAATCAAAATAAACATAAACACGGGGATAATTTTAGTTTTTCAGGAGTCAAAATTGGGCTACTCACGGTGACCGATTTTCTCCGACCAACGCGTAACTTGGAAATTGCTACAGTTGGTGTAACGCTATACTTTAAACAAAATTTGTAAAAAAAAAAATTATTCTTTGAGTAAAATGAACAAACTTGAAGAACTTGACCTTGTATTTAGTTGATTTAAGAAAACAAAATGTTATGCGAGATTAATATAATAAAAATACTTAATCGGCAGCCATTTTGATTTTCTATTAATTTTACAAAGGTCGGATTATGTTTTCCTAAAGAGGAGAAAAAAACAAAAACAAATTTCCTGGAAGCTTTAAAGGTGATTAAATTTTCTTCCAAAAAGCTGATTAAAATGGGGGGGAAATCATGACATAAAAATCTTGATACACTTATTTTTACTTACAGCTACAGATTTTCTTTTATTAGAAGTTCGAATATACTGAGCAACGGAAGTTGCTGCTACACTAGGCTTTAAATAAATTTGTAAATAACAAAAAAAATCAGTCAGAAATTAAACAAAGCAAAATCATTAAAATTTGTTAACATTCTAGCTACACAGACAGAAAAATATTATAAGACAAGGAAGTAATGCTGAAAAAAAGCTTTGAACAACTTTAAACAACAAATACATCAGAGACAATGTTAATTCATACTAAAATCTAACAGTTTATAAAAGTACATAAATGTAGCAAAAATTCAAAGAAAAAAAAGTTTGTTAGTTAAAACACAATAAATTCCATAAATCATGAAAACTCATTTCTTGGCTGTTAATGAAAAAATATGAAAACCATTTTATAGATATATATGCATACATACATACATACAGATACTGTGAGCACATAAAATAGTTCCACAATGATTTCTCAACTTGCTGTGGAGTTTTTTGTTTGTTTGTTTTCATTTCATTTTCATTTTATATTTTTATTTCTCGGCAACTTAATTTTGTATCAAATACAAGTGGGAGAATACGTGATAAAACTTATTAAGAAATTTTGTTTTCAAGCTAGCATCAGAAAAGCCAACAAAGTTATTGCTCGATAATTTCTGTAATTGTGGCCAGACCTTGCAATCAATATAACACTTTACTTTCTTGCCATGTGTATAAAATAATTGCACCAAAATGTCACCAATTTATTTCATTAATTTAAGATGCAGTTACAAATTTGAAGGCATCATTTTACATTATATTTTACTGTTAATGCAATAATTGTCCGAGATTGGAAAAATTATAAATATTTTAATCGCCAATTTGCTTATAAACCTAGCCTACAGCAAACAGCTGCTTATCACCCCTTCAACTAGAGCAGGCTGACAGTGTTTATATTCCAAGCTTGAAAAAAACTAAGTTTTACTTTCCAAGGTATTGTCCAAGCGATTCCTAAGAATTTTTCAGTTAACAATGGAATATGTCCAAGGAAAAGTTAGAAAAAAAAACTTTCACCTTGAACGATTGCAACATTATCCAAGGTTTCCTAGTAAAACTGCTCCTAAAGCTTGGACTTCCATGGTTTTTTCCATGATTTTTCTTGAATACCTTGGAAAATACACAGCCAGGTATGATCTGTGATCCAAAATTAGCTGGAATTAAGTCGCAAAATGACCTTTACTGGTGGAGGAAGATCTCAAGTACTTTGTGCATTATTTCAGGCACATAAAGGCACCAGAGTAGAACCACTGATGACCCATAAGCTAGTTTTTGGACTGCAGAGGTGTGCAAGCTGGGCTGGCCCTTTACTCTTGGCAAATGCTGGTCATTTTTGGTTCCGGTAGGTTACCATTCAGGGATGTATTTTAATATTGAATATATTGTGGAAGTTTTAATATATAGCCACCACATGGACATAACACAGTACAATAATCATAATATTATATGCTACAACACACAATGTTATATACATATATATACAATCATAAAATATCAGTAAATTTACAATATACATATACCACAGACAATATTTATGTAATAAAAATATGTTAGTTATAATTATAAAATAATTATGGTAGATAACGTTGCTACTTCAAAATTTCATATTTTTCAAAATTCAGAATCATTATTTTCAACAAGAGTTGTCTGTTAGACATTTAGCTAGATTATTCTTAGTGTCTGACATAAAGAAAAGGGGAATAACTCTGTAAAAACGTAAACTTTCAGTTATGGGACCTGTACCCATCTTCTTAGATTATTACAGAGAACAAATATGTAAAGTTTCAACCCATTTCCTTCAGTAGTTTTGTAGATACCAACTTGCACACAAAAACTTAACCAAAGTGTGTCACTGACGCTTGGTTGTCAGTTCAATAGCTCTCCCTTTTCTTCAAATAGTCAATCTAAAAATGTTAAAAGCTAAGCTTAAGAAATAAAGCACTATTAATGCATAATACAAGCATTTTTCAATTTAATTTTTCAGAATTATACTCAAAATGCAATATCAAAACAGACCAGAATATGAATTTTTGTGTTTTCCATCTTTTTTAAAGTTAAGTTAACATGGTAATGACATTTTCATTATAAGTTATCATATTGTCTTTCTATATGAAAAGATCAACTCAAGTAATTTTTGGGGTTTCAGAAATGTTGAGATAATTTTTATGAAAACTTTGAAATAGCAACTTGAAATGTTTTATATACATTTATAAATAGTAACCATATCTACCATAATCGATATATAGTAACATCAATGCAGCACTACTATAACTGTTCTCTATTCACCCTGATCCTGCTGACTCTATACAATAGACTTGTCCTCTTTCCATTTTGGAACAGTCCATTATTAATCTTAAGGGATTTCTTGGAGAAAATTTGGCAGTTTGCCAGTCAGCAGTATAGAGCCTGGTCAGACTGCGCATACCTAAACAAGCTGGCCTGACTTTATAATGGTTCTGAAGTATTGCAGTTTTGGTCCCAGCATTGAATTTGTAAGGGATAATTAACCTTTAACTAAATGAATTTCTTGCAGCTACTTGTTTAGCTTTGAATTTTGAACAGTCTTTGCACAGTTTAAGGGATTTCAATATCAAAATACGTAAATTTCATAGAGCCTGGTCAAACTACGCAAATACACAGGGTTGCTCAGCTCTATACTGGGGGCAATTTTTCAGACTCATCACTTTCAGTCCAAGCAGGTTACAGGTAAAATAATACAGAGTTTAACATTGTGCTACATTGAAGTGATAACTTGTGACTGCAGGTAGCCATGACAAAAACATATCAAAACATACCTCCAAGTCCTGTACAGTAACACAACAACATTAGATATATTATTGTCATATATTTCAAAATACTCTGTGTTATATAGTATCATACTCCATGTTATATAGTACCATACTCCATGTTATATATAGTTCCATACTCCATGTTATATAGTACCATACTCCATGTTATATAGTATCATACTCCATGTTATATAGTATCATACTCCATGTTATATAGTACCATACTCCATGTTATATAGTTCCATACTCCATGTTATACAGTACCATACTCCATGTTATATAGTACCATACTCCATGTTATACAGTTCCATACCCCTTGTTATATAATACCATACCCCATGTTATATAGTACCATACTCCATGTTATATAGTACCATACTCCATGTTATATAGTATCATACTCCATGTTATATAATACCATACACCATGTTATATGGTACCATACTCCATGTTACATAGTACCATACTCCTTGTTATACAGTTCCATACCACTTGTTATATAGTACCATACTCCATGTTATATAGTACCATACTCCAAGTTATATAGTACCATACTCTATGTTATATAGTACCATACTCCATGTTATATAGTACCATACTCTATGTTATATAGTACCATACTCCACGTTATATAGTACCATACACCATGTTTATTTAGCACTTTGGTAAAACCACTGATTTCAGTTTAAATGTAACTATTTGTTTGCCAGTGTAAAATAAGATCTTTCAAGTTATTCTAAGTACACTGAAATCAATTTCCTGGAATTATTATTACTTTAATTATGCTGGTAAAAAAGATTTAAAAGACATTATTTCCTTCACATGTAATATTTTCATAACATTCTAGCATTAAAGGTGCTATTTTATCAAAACAGTCAGACAATATCATAAAACATGAAGTTTTTAAACATCTATCTAAAACTGCTCCACATGTCTTCTCTGCAAATCAAGAAATTATTAATCACATAAGGAAGAAAACTGTTTTTACAACCCTTTTTAACAAACAAGATACAAATGTTTTCATAATATGAAACATCTGATTATTTTAATGGCTTTTAAATACATGATCTTTAATGATTTATGTATCAGTGTAACAGTAATTACGAGTCATACTTACAGATTTATTTCTGTCAGGAGAACTTCGGTCTGACATCAGTTTACGACGTTCAACGACTTCCTCGTGACGTAACGGAAATCTTGACAGAACCTTTATACATGAAAAATAAAGTTAAATGAATGTGTTTTCTATATGATATCAAAACTGTAAAGGTCAAATCAAGGTCATGTATTTACCTTTTAGCTTTACTAGTGGAATAAAGTCAAATATGTCTGTCCGAACAGCATTTTAGGATCAGGAGAGTTGGGCAACTAAATATAATTACTGACTTAAATGTATATCTTTATGTTAAATTCTTAAATTAAAAATTTCATCTTCTTTATCCCTTATCATTTCAAATTTGTTTGATCATGCTTGGTATTTCATATTTCCATTATTTTACAAGAGATTCATCAAAAGCAACTAAATGTGTAGTGTCTGGTATGCACAAATGTCAAGCTGGTCTGCCTCTTTACTGGCAGCTGAGCAACTTTTTATTACGGCTAACATTTTTTAAACCCCTATGCAGTATGGGTGACATTGACCTATGACCCTCTGACCTTTATGTGGGTCTGGTAGAGTATGCAATCCATGCACCTATGCAGTTTGTAGGTTGTGGGTGTAAGACTAGTGTTATTCTAAAGGTTAAAGTTTTGTGGCATTCTAACAGACACACATACCACAAACAAATGTCCTGTAACTCTATTGACTGTAAAAATTGAGCACTTTCATTTCAACTATTTAATCATAAATAGTTGATAAGATGTATCTAAACTTTGCAGTCCACAGGTGTAGCAGAATGTTTCAAAATATAAAACATAATAAATATATGATATTAAATATTCATACAAACCTCTGACAGCTTGACAACACCTTTATCTTTAATTTCATTACTAGCTAGAGATATTGACAACAGTGTCCTGTTTAGTCGAAGACCCTGCAAGATAAAATAACATAATATAAAAACATGTTTGCTGAACATATAGTCTTGTATTTTGGGTTAAAGTTTAAAAAAGTTTTAGTCTGTACTGAAATGAAAAAGATAATTAAATACTTAGAGTTAGCTCCCTTACTTCAGCAATTTCTATCAGTCCCTGATCCTGAATTTTGTTATTACTCAAATTTAATGTGAGAAGTTTTGTGTTTGAATGTTTGGCACTACCAATACATCGACCAATCATAGTGGCTCCTTTGTTTGTAATCCCACAATGCCGTAGTGATAAATTCTGTACACTGAAACAGAAGAGTACAAAAATTAAGAAATGACAGTCACACATTGACTGTTTTGTTTAACATTAATTCATCGCTTTTTGTTAATCTTTATATTTGTCTTTATAATACTAAATGTTTGTAAAGTCACTTTTCATTGGATTATTGTGATGTTTATATAGTTTTATATACACGTCTGTCAATTTTCGAAAAAATCTCACTTTTTTCTCAAAAAAGGAAGTTTGCGGTATTATAAATCCGTTATAAATATTCCTGACAGTTTATATGACCATATATAAATGGTTGTTTGCAATATAATCCTCGCCTAGCGGCTCAAGTTATATTTCCAAACAGTCATTTATAGAGGGCCATATAACCTGTCAAAAATCTTTATAACTAATAATATAAATGTGAAAGATTTACCCTTGAAAATATTGAAATAAATAAGTAACTGAGAGTCTGAATAGATATGTACCCAACTAAAACTTTTTTTCAAACATTACTTCACTGTTTGGTTATGGTTTATGTTCAATTCAAAATAAAAACATTACTAACAAACATTCTATGTACAGCTCTACTTACGGACTTTCTTCAGTTATCAACTCAAACCAATCTTCTTTTTCTGTGGTATTTCCATCTAATGTTAAATTTCTGCAAGGTATAAATAAGTTGTTTTGTTAGTTTTTCTGGTTTTCATGCTAATTGTAAGTCAATTTTAACATCCTTTTTGGCCTTTTGATAAATAACCAGTAATTACCAATTTCTCTGTAAGTGACCTAATATTAATCCCAGATGATTTCTAAATCAGCTGTCCAAGATAAATGACCATTAAACTTAAGATATATGGTATGCATTACTCTTTTCTGGTGACATAGGCAATTTATCATTGCTACCAGTATAAAAGGGTCAAACAGTCAAGGAGATATTTCTAATATGCCAGTAGGACCACTTCTATTTGTCAAAATCATTTTTATTCTTAAGGTATTAATTTCTATGGTTTTTATAGATTCACAAAAAATAGATCCAATAACATTTTATTTTGTCTGCTGTATGATTATTTTTATTACATTACATACATGACATAGCATATAGCTTTTCTGCACAAACTGACAATCCATGAAATTAAATGTCTACAAATTTGTCCTTTTTGACAAAACCACAAAATTTTAGGAAATTAAGAGAATTTCACAGTAATTCTGGTTACCTATTCAATGCTCTTCTTATTGAGCTAAGCTGGTTGAAAATGTTCATTCATAAAGTGCAAAAGTATGGAATAAGTTGAAATGTTTGAAAAAACTATATATAACTCACTTGACATTTGGGCACTGTGGTAGTATAGTTGCTAATATATGTAGGGTATCATCATTTAGACCAGTGTTCCATAAACTGTAATCAGATAATCATTTCAATGATCATACTATCATCTATAATAACAGTACATTTATTATAAGTCAAACTTTAGGTCATACTTAAAGTAATATTATTATCATTAATATTAATTATTTCTTAAATGTTAATATTTCATTACCTTTAGCAAGTAAAAATCTTAAAATATTGAATTGTATTACTATGTATCAAGATGTTATATTAAGTTTTTACTTTAAAGTCATATCTAAATTAAGTAAACATAAACAAGAAAGCCATATTAGGCCTGAATTGCTCATAGCTCAATTAATAGCATAAAATCAAGAATATCAACAAGGCCATACTTCTTCATGAGGCTTTCAAAAAAAAAAACAACAACAACAACAAAATACACACAAAAAACATGGCCTTACAAAGGAGGAAAGTTCTGAAGAAATAGATTGAACCGTAACTTTTTGGAATTATAACAAATTCATTATGTTGTAAAATTCAATGTCTTTAATCTTACTTTATAGAATGTAATTTTTCCATGGTAGGCCAGCACTGTTTGAATATGTCCATCATGGTTGCATCTATTTTCCAGCCTGAAATAACAATAATTATAACATACATAAATCACTTCTCTTACTTTGTTTGTTTGATTTTTATTCTCTTTGAAACTGTAAAAGTCTGTGGAATGGCAACATTTTAGCTTTACCTGATGGAGGAAGCCCACAGATGCCTCTTCATTCATTATTTACAAGGGGGAAAGCTTTGTCATTTGAAAGAGTCAAAGTCTAACACGAGATTCAGACCCACAGTTGTTTCATATCAGCGGCCATAAAGCTCCCTTATTAACAGCCATAAAGTCCCCTTACAATTATCAAAGATATGATATGCTAATGTCTAAAGTACCTACATAACTATATGTTTATTGTGGCTACTTTTAGCATTTTTTAGGACAAGAGGGCCATGATGGCCCTGAAGTCGCTCACCTGTATATAGGCCCCCGGAGCGGCCGGCCAGTTTAAACCCCAGGGCTTTTATTTTAACAAACTTGGTAGACACCCATTAGAAGATGCTTCATGCTAAACATCTAAGGTCTAGCTGGTGAAGTCTTTTCTTCACACATATAGTTAAAAACAATGACACACCTGGGGCAGGGCCAGTTTTGACCCAAGGGCTTTTATTTGAACAATCTTTGTAGACACTTACTAGAAAATGTTTCATGCCTAAAATCTAAACTCTAGCTATTTTGTTTTTTTCAAAGAAGATTTTTAAGTTTAATTTGCTATAAACATATAAGGAAAATCAATGTCTGCCGAGGCGGGGCCAATTTTGACCCCAGGGCTTTAATTTGAACAAACTTTGTAGACACTCACTAGAAGATGCTCTGTGCTTAATATCTAAACTCTAGCTATTCAGGTTTTTTCAAAGAAGATTTTTTAAGTTTTTGCTTTACACATATAAGGAAAATCAATGTCCCCCGGGGCGGGGCCAATTTTGACCCCAGGGCTTTAATATGAACAAACTTTGTAGACACTCACTTGAAGATGCATTGTGCTTAATATCTAAACTCTAGCTATTTGAGTTTTTTCAAAGAAGATTTTTTAAGTTTTTGTTATACACATATAAGGAAAATGAATGAACCCCGGGGCCGGGCCAATTTTGACCCCAGGGCTTTTATTTGAACAAACTTGGTAGACACTCACTAGAAGATGTTTCATGCTTAGTATCTAAACTCTAGCTATTTGGTTTTTTTTCAAAGAAGATTTTTTAAGTTTTTGCTATACACATATAAGGAAAATCAATGACCCCCAGGGCGTGGCCAATTTTGACCCCAGGGCTCTTATTTGAACAAACTTGGTAGACATCTTTTAGAACATGTTTCATGCTAAATATCTTAGCTCTAGCTCTTTGGGTTCTTTAAAACAATTTTTTTTTAAGTTTTTACTATATGCATATAGGGAAAATCAATGAACCCCTTGGGGGGCCAATTTTGACCCCAGGGCTTTTATTTGAACAAACTTGGTAGACACTTACTAGAAGATGTTTCATGCCAAATATCTAAGCTCTAGCTCTTTGGGTTTTTTAGAAGAAGATATTTAAAGTTTTTCCTATTGGCTGCCATGGCAACCAGAGTTCTGCATGGAATGGAATTCTTTGAACAAGTTTGTTAAGGCTTCACACAAGGAACATCCCTGTGAAGTTTCATTATGATCTGCCTTATGGTTTCAGAGGAGACGTAGTTTTAAAAGTGTGAACGGACGACGTACAACAGACGACAGACGACGGACGAAGAGTGACCCTGAGCATATGATCAGGTGAGCTAAAAAAAGTCAAGAACAGAAAATAATAAGCAGATATTTATTATTGTAAAAGAGTAAGATAAGTTGTTAAAGAAACTGTCATGTCATATTGAATAATATAAACATGCACATTATTTTGTAATATTAGCATGAATTTTAGAAGAAAACTTTGTAGAAATGTATATCATTCAACTACTAGTTACGTGGACTCTATATCATGCTGGCAACTTCCAAACATTACTAGTGGAGGGTAACTTAAAATTCTCCTCTTTGTATAGAAGCACCACCATTGTATTACAAGTATTAAACAAGGTTAAAGTACGTCACCTGGTGTTATTTGCTGTTCATAAATAATGTCCAATGTTTCATCAAAGTGAGCAAATTTCGTGCGCTATTTGAGAAATTGGGTGTTCTCAAAAGAGAATTCAACCTTTATACAAACTTTTTATCCTATATTTTTATCATTGGTTTATACAGAATTTATTTTAGTTTGATTGTGTAAGAAGCTATAAGCTTATAGACACACTTTTGAATCTGTTCCTGGAACCAACCGGTACTGAGCAATGAGTGTAAAGTTTCTTGCTCAAGGAAACAACGACTTGCCCCTGACGGGGTTTGACTCCATGCGGCTAGCAATCATTAGATTACTAGTCTGATGTGTTAACCACTCGGCCATGCCGCCACTTATTTTTATCATTAAGAATAAAGATTTGATAGTGTTACCTCTTATAAATATTTCATTAACAGTATCAGCTTTATCTTGGTTGTCCATCTCTACTTGTATAGATGGTTTAAAATATTCAAACTTGTCTTTTGTTGTGTAAGTCTTTGGTGGGGCATCGATGGGCTCTGAAATCATTTGTAATATCAAAACATAAAAATATATATAGACAGAAAGTAAAATGTATGAAGTCATTAAAAGGACATAGCTTTTAATGCTAGTATGTGTTTCAACTGTTTGCTATGGGTAATAAAATGCATTTTCCAGTAATACAGAGCCAGGTGGCCTAGCTGTGAGTGCACCAAATATAGTACTGTGTTATACCAGACTCTTTAGTGTTGGCCACTTTATTTTTGACATCCAAAATCTCTTAAATTATTATTATCAGAGATATCAAAATTTAAAACGTTGAAAGTCTATGTGTTACAAAATTAACATGAAAATAGTTTTGTAGTCTGTTTGGACTACACTGAAAGTTTGATCCATTTTCAGGTAATAAATTGATCAATATTCAGGCAATATTATTCAGGAAGATTAAGCACCTATAGTTTACTTTTACATAATGCAATCATTTTTTTAAATTCTTTTCTGTCTTCAATATAACATAAAACAAACCTGTATCTTTTCATTTTATCCAGAATTTAGTACCAGCATATGTGACTTACTTTTAACAATCTAACATTATGAACAATAAACAAGAACCAAAACATTTGAACTGTATCATTCCCAAACGTTTTACCTGAGATCTATCTAACTCTATGCTTGATGCAACATTCACCTAACTTAAGTAATAACCATCTTCATCACATAAACAAAGAAGGTGAACTTCTATGATAATGTTAAAGGGACTCCACTGAGGTTTTTTGACATGATGGGACTGAAAATATTTTTCCAGATAATTGTACCATTTAATGTAGGTTTAGACAACTAATCTTTGTGCAAAATTTCAGATCATTCTTGCACACCGTTTTTTCGGAATTAATTATTCTAATTGTAAAAAACTGACCCAAACTGAAAAGCGTTTCAACGCTTTTCAAGCAAATTAGGCTAAGAAAAGCATAAAAAATACGGTTTTCAATTTATTTCAACTATTTTTGCATATAATACTGTTTAAAGTGCCCCAGCTCATTTATGTACGAAATTCAAATGTTATGTTTTTACACTTTTAAAGCTCAGTGAAGTCCCTTTAATGAATAATTGAAGATAAAATATAATTATATAATTAAGCATAAATTATTTTTACTTTGACTACTATTTAAAAAAACAAAACAAAAAAAAAAAGGCTCCAACTGTGGGGAAAAAGAAATTTATGAAGGGATGTTAATTGATCAAGACTTCTTTTTAACTCCTATTTATGATTTAAATACTATTCGAATGTATATAGTTTTTAATCCTCTCTTAATCTTTAATCAACTTGGTGTTAAAAAGATCATTATTAAGTACTTATACCTCACATGTCTGGGAAAAATTATAACACTTAATGCACTTTAAAATAAAGGTCAGGCACCCATAATTTACAGATAAATAAAATGGCCAAAAAAATGGTCATTGGTCACATATTTTTCATATAAACAATAATTTTTCTAAAAAAATACAAAAGCTCTATTTGCGTAAAAATTAATTTCATTTACATGAATCTTGAACTTAATGATTTCATAGCTCTAAAAAAGGGATGTTGCCTTTTTCAGATTTTGACTACCCATTAATTTACTAAATAAAATCAATTTTACAGATATACATGTAATGGTGACTGCTTTTTTAGCTTTTAAGTTTTATTCTACAGTATAATTTCTACTATGCCCCGAGACATATAAAAATTCAAACTCATCAAAAATGCCATAAAAATTTTTTATATATATATTATATCACAAAATATTTGTCAAAAAAGAAGTCTTATGCTGTTATTCAATTTAAAAAAAAAAATGTTGCTGTTTTTGAAGCTTGAACCACCTACCTCCATCCTCTGTGGTTTCATCCTGTTCTGGCTCTGGTTGTGCTACTGCAGGTTTACCTTTATCCTTGCCACCTTTTGCCGGACTCACTTCCTGTTGAACCACAGGAGCTGGTGGTCGTGGGCGCATTATCACTGGAGGAATGTACGTCATGTTACTGCGACGGCACAGCTCACTGAAATCCGCCGAGAAGTTTCCTGTACACACATGAGGTTCTGCAATATTAAATAGATTTGTCTATAGATTATTTCAGAAAATGGTTTTAGAAACAAAAAATACATTCAAATTTTATTATGCTGCAAGCCTGCAAAATTTAAAAATTTGACCTTGAAGGTAAAGGTAGGTTATGATTCAAGGTCAAATTTAGTCTGGTCTACATTTGTATTTGAATAGCACCTGCAAAATAATAGTTTCTGTATTACAGATTTAACCAATGAAAAGGAACTGACTCTAAAATCATCAGATTTGTAAGTTATGCTTTTACATATTCAAGGATTTTATGTCTTATATCATAATCATCATGTACACATAATTCTAGTACATGTATTCTTTTAAGCTTTCATAATACCCCAGAGCATGAAAATGATAGGAAATATAGTTTAAGAAATAAGGATTATCTAAAATAAGGTGCTGTTTTTTCTTTTGTCTTTTATACATCACACACAAAGATAACAACTTCTCAGCTTTCCTGTAGAGTCAAGACCAAGGTGTTTCTCTCTCTACATTATTCAAGAGATGTTTTAGATTTTCATTTTCAAAACTGAAACATTATTCTATGTTTTATTATCAGTAAGGTTACATACAAAACAAAAAATTTGATAACGAATTAACAACAATCAGTAAAAACAAAATATCTTGTAAACTATTTTTACAATCAAACATAACATAGTGCTGCAACAATTTTTTTTAAAAATTGTTTGAAATATATTCTGACAAGAAAAAACCCATGAGGACCAGGTAACTCATTAAATTTTAATTAAAGGTTTAAGAAGGTCACTTAAACAACTTCATTTTAGTCATCCAAATCTCAAAGATTACCATGTATTATTTAAAACTGAATTTCATGCCATAGATTGTAAAGTAGGTCACTAGATCATCATCTTAAACGCATTCACTCAAGGTCAAAGTTCACCCATCCAAATTTAATGTAAGTGTAGTTAATATATAAATATTGTCCATCAATTCTGGGCATTATTAATTAAGATTTTAGATATTCAGCATTACAATAATAAGATACATGTAATACGTAACCTTAAAGTGCAGGGTAAATTTTGACACAGGGGCATTCTTAATTTCAGAGGGGCATATTTTGAACAAGCATAGTAAAGAACCACTTAAATAATGCAACTTTTCTAACATAAACTTTAAATTAAAGCCACTAGGCCTTATGGATTCTAACAAATAGATATTTTAAAACTTCTGCTACATAAGCCTTTGTGAAACTAGAGATATAGGGTGTGATCAATTTCTGACCCAAAGAACATAATTTGAACAAACTTGATAAAGAACCTCTTAACAATGTTACATACCAAATTTTGAGCGTTCTGAAATGAAGAATTGTTCATTGACAAGTTTTTTGCTAGAAAAGTCTATGTAAAAGTAGCAATCCTGCACACAGGGCCAATTTTAACCCAATGGTCTAATAATCAATTTTTAACAAACTGGGTAAAAACACTAAATAATGCTACCTTTCAAATATCAAGCAAATAATGGGCCTAATGGTTTCGAAAAAATAGATTTTCAAATTTTTTTTGCTATATATAAGCATACATGTTGCGATGTATGTAAAATCAGTAACCCCCAGGTTGTCATTTTGACCCACTTTTTGAGTATAATACAAATAATTAACACAATTTTGGTAAAGATCTACTTAGTTATGCTACATAACAAATATCAAAAGTTTGATCCATGCAGGATTGTACATTACTTTAAAGATTTTGATTCTGGTTGCCTCACTTTTCTCTTTTCATCACAATTACTTCTTTCTTCAATCATAATTTCATTTTTTCTAGCACCCCTTTTCTTCTCACAAATAAGTTTAATTTAAGAACTTAAGATACAAGTATGTAAGTGACAATGGAATCCAATCGTAAATATTCATAAATTCATTATAATTTGAATAGTATATTAATTTTTTAATAATTCATCACTACTAAAAAACAAAACCCAAAAGGAGCCAAAACAGAAACAGTCAAGATATTGTTTAAATGAAAAGTTGACGAGACATGTAAGGCATGACAGACACAAGGCAATCACAAAAGCTCACCTTGACCATTTTGTGATCAGATGAGCCAAAGATACAAAAAACAAGTTTAATATTGGTGCATATACAATGTAAAGAAAAACTCACAAGACAAATTACATAAGACAACATAAAGATATGAAATGTCACATTGTTTTTACTTGTTTGGTACTTATTTATTATAATTATGCCAATTAATGACTTTCTGATCTGTCAGTTAAATAAGATGTAGTGATCCCCTGACTGGAGAATTACACTGGGTACTGTTATATCACTAGAGATATTTGTCTGTATTGCTCCAATTTAAACACAGGTATAAACAGATACCCTTAAAGGGCAGGGAAGTTTATTTCATTTGTTGGCAATGAAATGTGGACTCCAATAAATAAAAGGAATCTTTGATGACACATAGATACTTGATACCTGAATGGCTGCATGATGACAACAATTGTGCCCATTGTATGAAACTTGGGTCTATAAAATGCCATAACTTTAGAGTGACTAGGAAATATACAAGATTTACAACACTACTTTAATATTGTGCAATCATGAAATATAACTGACAGACAACATGGCTGTGTAGTATTTAAATACATTACCACTGCTATCAGTTACATCATCAGTTTTAATACTGATTGGGTTTTCTGCTGTAAATGATTACATTGTTGTGATAATATCAGTATAGACAAGAAATGATTTATAAATGAAAGTTAAATGGAAGAGTACATGTATGTATTGACAATAAATAATCATCTCTCATGATCGAACAATTGCATTAACCCTTTCACGACAAAGTGATTTCTGCCTGATGTATTAATTTGCATTTGAATCAGTCAATAATTATAATATCTGAAAAATAGATAATACTACAACAGCAATTATGATCAAAGCATCTACATACATTAGTTCAAAGAAAGTTTCCAACAATTAAGATACGTTGAGTTCATTAAGGATGTCCTACAAGCTTGAAAAGCCATTGATTACAGTCTAAATCTATGAGGCAAAAGATAATTGATAAAATTATTATTGGCCATATGATATGAACAAGTTCAGCACTTTAGGTGTTTAATGTTATCGGCTTACCAAGTGCTTTATTTGAATCCAGTTCATCCTGACTGGTGGCAGACTGGTTCTTCTCTTTATTCAAACTCTTCTCTACCTTCTTCCCCATCTTCACCCGAGATGCTAGGCTGAAAAAATATTTACTAATGTTTAAGATATTTTTAAACTTAATCTTATGAAAAAATTAAGTTAATCTAATAAAATTTACTGACAAAAAGACAAACTCAAAACAAGAAAACAGTTACATATAAAACCAAAAATAATTTAGTTAAGAATATGTCAAGAACATGAAATTCTCCTCTTTATGTATAATAAATGATAATGAGTGAGAAAGATACCGGTTTGAGCAACCGTCACACTTTAATTTATTTTTTGGACTATTAATTTGAAATTTTTGGTAATGATTCATGCATTTATATAAAGTTCGTCCAGAAACCCATACTTTCTTCTGAAATAAAAAAAGTTAGTAATTTCATCAATAATTTCATCAATGAATATATATGTACAGCTCGATTAATCTGTTCATTTGTCTTGTCATTTATGGTAAAGTAATCTTGTGTTGATCGTCAAGACAACACACAGCTCTGGCAATGTTGTACTTATTTTTATACAGATGTATACATGCAAACATAGCACAATACTAGATAATACATCTTTCAAATGTTGAAAATATCAAATCGTCTGTTAAAAAGATCACATCATCTCTACCTACATGTATGATAAATGTAAATATCAAACTTAAAATTGTCACGGTTAAGAACTGTTCACTATTCAGGGGGAAGATATGTAAGCCGTCGGATAGCTCAGTCAGTAAAGCTGCGGAACAATATTACGAGGGTCCAGGGTTCGAGTCCCGGTCAGGCTGCACATTTTTCTCACCCTGTCACAAAATCACTACCTCGACAATCACATATTCTGTTCCACTATTGATCCACAGCCCTTCATGACTTAAAGCACCTCCTCTAGTTTTGTTTTATTTTCAAGAAGAGGTTTCAATAAAGGGTAGCATTATTTAGGGAGAGACTCAAAATAGAGACACAAATCTTAAAATTCATCTCCATTAGACTCCATTATCCATAGCCTTAACAGCTTTAATTTTGACAACACAAAAATTATAATCATGATTTGTATACACTTTAAGTTCAATAATGAAGCAGATATTATTAATGGTACATGTAGTTTATCAAACACTTTCCGCACTAGACTACGGTAAATAAGATTCGGGGCATTGGGGTATTTAACATGAACAGTTTAATCCTCTCAGCTCAGAGGACCTCTGACATGTCTGAAATTATAGAATTTTCGTTCTTTTGTCATATATCTTTGTGCAGACATCATACAATATAACTCAAACGTTAACACAATGAAAATTTCAAGCTTAAAACACAAACTTACAAAGTGCGCAAACACTTTAGACGTAGAACAAGGACTTTGTTTATCTGCTACCAGTAGAATAACTTTACACAACCATTTGTGTATATTGACCGCACAACACAGCACCGGATATGATTACGGTAACAATTAGTGCATAAATTATTTCAATTATTTTGCTAGTTTAGTCTTAATGAATATCTTAATACATATAAATGAATTAACAAAAAATTATTTGAAGTAAGTTTTCTTAATAAAAAAGTCTAACTCTATAAATCAATAATTTTGATATTAAATATTATTCCGCGCCTCGTTTTTAAATTAGCGAAAATGTAAACATCCGCTTTCCGTAGAAACGGCAACAACAAACAGGTGCGCGCACGTGTGAAAATGCCCCGTACAGTTAAAGCATCGTGCATTTCTTTACTTTTGATCAGAGCTAACTAGATCTAGATCAATTGAGATAAAAAAAATGTAACCATAATGCAGAGTAATTTTATTATGGTAATAGGTTAAAATTCCTCTGAGATAAACCACTTTATAAAAGCTGAACACTAATTAATAAAAAAATTAAATATACTGCAACCTTGTTTGTCAGGCCAGTGTCTTTCTAATAGATTCTATTCACGGATTTATATTATTGTAATATAAATCCGTGATTCTATTGGAACATGGTATTCTATTTGAAAGACCCTGATTGAAAAGACCCTTTTTGACTTTACTAGCAAGATCATGTATTCTTATATGGACATTGAAAGTCTACTGAATTCTTTTGGCTTTACAATTTTCAAATGATGTGATCTCCGTGATTGATGATCAGAAAATAATTTATGTAGATTCATCTTTATGTACATCCTATGTTTTTCATTACATAATAAATAGCAAAAAAGCAAACAGCAACGCAGGATATTAAATAAATTACAGACTTTTAATCGTTAAATAAAGAATTTGTAAGATCTACTTGGGCGGTGGTTGTGGTGGTGGTGTTGGTAGTTTTCACTCCTGATCACGACAGTAAGCCACATTGAATTTACCAGTAATAGAATAATATTTGAAAGATCCGGCCTGTGCTAATGGTGAGGCTGTCATCAGAAACTATACAATATACATTGCAATATTAGAATTGTTGAGAATTTATTTTTATTTAAAGAAAGACTAAATTCCATGTCCAGTCTTAAATTTAATTGATAATTGTCCGGTCGTAGCCAGTCAACGAATCACATATCTTGAACACCACTTTAACAAGTTATTTACATTATCACAGTTCATTGTTGACTTTAAGTTTGTTAAATATATTAAATAAATATTAAATGATGATCGATTTGCATACAATGTAGAATTATAGATAAAGCGGAATAATCGCTCCCTGTACTTTCCATACATTATATGGAATATGACTTATATTTGAATGATAATAGTTTGCACCAGTCCTGATGTATCATTCTGTATATAATGTTTTTTGTTGTTGTTATTGTTGATTTTTTTCTTCACTATATATTAAAAATGTTAATTAAAATTAGTGTACATGTTGTATATATTGTATGTTCTGCTCTTCATAACTGGAGGAAATAAAAGACTCAATCAACTTTAAACAAGTCTGAAATAATTTTTTTAAGTTTTTATTCTATTCTGTTCTTTAATCATGACCGTGTAATCTTTAAGGCATATTTAGCATCAGAAATGCTTTTATTTTTAATTTCCAAAAAGAATTTTCTTTTGCAATTAGTACAGTTATACAATATAGTTATTTAGTATAAAACTAACGTGTGTCTGTCCTGTTTAATAAAAAAAGATTTATTCGTTTATAACACATATAATGTTACTTTAATGACAATTTTCATTGTCTATTGGCATTTTTTTAAAGAAATCGTTTCGTAATTATAAAATGCTAGAAAAAAAGCTTTTAAAAACGACAGCAAACTCAGAGAATCGGTCAATTTTTGTTGCACTTACCCAGAAAACAATGACATGATTATTTTAATAATTCTTTTTTCCGTCCTTTTTACACAATTCTATAAATGGTCTCGATTCAAGACACAAAAAAAACAACACTTAAAACTCCATTTTAATGAATTCACGTTTTTTTTACCAATATGTTCCCTATTTAGAATGATTCGTATCAGTCAGTTTTCACGTCAGTTTTTACGGTTATCACAACTTTCTTCAGGTTCTATGACAGTTTATAAAGTGTCTCTATAAATTAATATGCACTTGTTGAGTTTTCTTGTCATAATTATGTTTTCAATTTATGGAAATACATGTTTACACGCACCTCCTTGAACAAAATAAATATGAATATATTTTGTTTAGCAAGCAATTAATCCGATTCACTCTAAAGTTTCTATGCAACTATTCATTTTGTACTGTCTAATCTGTAAAAATATTTATTCTACTTTATTTTTATATTCTTGTACGTACATTTGCCAACAGCCAAATTTTACACTTAAGCGACTCTTAATAGTTGAATTTCTTAAGAAAATGTAAAAACGACACAAAAACGTTAAATTTGCGATATCATGATAACGGGAACAAAATAATTAACTTTGTAGAATAATTGTTGTGGACAATTATAACATGTAAAGTTTATAGAAATTATAACAATCGTACACATTAACAAACGTACAAAATAGATTAAAGTATAGAAAGTGAAAATTTTACATCTGATCAGTTTTTAAAGTCAAACCTATTTAAAGGGACTCCACTTAGCTTTTTTGATATGACGGGACTGGAAATAGAATATTTCGAGATTAATTTAATGTTTTATTTGATATTTGTCTAGACAAATAACTTGTGAGCAAATTTTCAAATCATTTGCCAATTCCTTTTGTCCAGTTGTGAAAAATGACCCAAAATTAAAAAGCGTTGCAACGCTTTTCACTCAAATCAGACGAAGAATATCACAAAAACTATTTTTTAATGTTTTACCTGTGTATGATTTTTAATTATCTTTTGCATATCTTTTTATTTTAAGTGTCCCAGCTAATATATATAAGAAATTTCAAATTTTATGATATCAGGTTTTTGGACCTTAGGGGACTGTTTTGTAAGTTTATATATATATGGTCAGCTTAAATTTTAAATATGTTTAAACATTTCTTTCTAGTTTTTCCTGGAATAAAACAGAATTTATATTTTAATCGATTCATTCAGAATTGGTTTTGTTAACCTACAATTATTAATCAATTTGAACAAGAACATTACATAGCTCTGATAAAGTTGAACATATATTGATAGTAAGTTTTTATTTACACAGAAGGAAATAAGACAAATATACATAATCTAATTTATTTCAAAAGCATTCCGGAACGGTTTATTCATTTTTATAGCAATTCCTTTGGATCAAATTCATACGTAAATTGATTATTACTGTAAAAAAAGTTGGTCACAGTGTCCTTTCATGGCATAAAAGAATCAATTTTAGACATATATGTAGCTTATTTTGTCTAAAAAAAGTTACTGCATGCATATGTACAGTGAAATTTTAAAAACTATAATGTGTCATTAATTGTTTCCGTACTAGGTTAAGAATATATCGTAGAGGTCAACATATATCCGAGACCCCATTAATTAGACGACATGTATAAATAAGGTCGTAATAAAACATAGAGATCAGTGGAAATGCATAGTCACGTGACTTCAACGTATATCATGGAAAACTAATCTCAACCTTCCGGTCCTTTCCGTCAATCTTCGGATAAGAATTATAAATGATCGTCGGGGTGTTCCGGTTGATATACTGGGTCTATGAAACACTGTAAAATAGCTAGATTTAAGCTATATATCATCACGGTCTTGACTACATTCTTAAACCAAGCAGAACTACTTTTTATAGTACTGCAAACGAGCATACAAATACTTCGACTTAAACATTTGAAACTTTTTCTGTTGGTTTGCTACAAGGCGAGCATAGCTAGGAACTCGGGAACGGGGCCGCAAATTGCGGCACATATTTCTAATCATGTAACAGCAGCTGCTTCAAAAATGTTTAAAACTCCTACATCTATAAATACAACTGCCTGAAAGAATAACATTTTAACACGATCTCTTATTTTCAAATTGGCCAAATCTGACAAAAAATGACAAGGATTGACACACAATATGAAAAGCCATTCCCGAGCTCATGGAGCTTCTATGGCCAAAAATAGTGACTTTTCAAAACTGTACTAGTTTGCTACATTGCATCTGAAATGTGCATCTTTTTACGGGCCTTGTGTATGATAAATAATTACTAAATATGCTGTTATTGTAACAGAGTAATATAGCTTTCAATATGTTACATTAAAACCCCCGAAGAAACATTATATATAAATGCAATAGTTACCAGAAAACTTAACTTATAAACTAAAATCTTTGAACAGGTCTTACCTTACTTTTTTCCACAATGTGGTCGTCATCTTTCGTGTTTTATAATATTTAAATCCTAAAATATAGCGAGCTTATTGTGGTATAACAATATCTAGAACTGTGGATAATAACTTAAAATGCATTAAAACGCTTGTATTGTTACATCCGCACGCACAGTTTGATTATTCCACGTGACATTAATGTGGTGGTTCTAAGCACGAGCTGCTAATTGATAATCCGTTAATCAGAAGTCACAATTTCCAACTCCGGTGGTAATATTTAATCAAACTTCCTAACCTTATTTTCTCCTTTTGACAATTCATTTATTGAATAAAAAATACAACAGGCATAGTCGGTACCCGCGTGTGAATTATATTGTACTTCAAAAGGAAAATATTGTAATTTAACTCCGAGTATGTTTTATTCACTTTCTGTAGGTATTCTTTTTTCAATTTCAGAAAATTGTGAGCAAATAAAATGTTTAAAAGTCTATTATGCTGAAACTTAATTAACTATTATAGTAAAGATTCGATATAGAAATTAGCCGAGTTTATAGGAAAGATGGCAAACAAAGATCAAATTGGATTAGCATTATGAATATTAAAATATGTTGGAATTTACATACACTTATTTAAACAACAAGCATCTCAAGTTATAGTACTTGTTTTCAGGCAATGTAAACAAATATGACCTTATATTAGATCAACACACCCCTCTCTTTTACCAAATTTGTACCAAACTCTCACGGTGTCTCCATGATATATCTGTAAATTAAACTACATGTAATTTATTTAAATGTTAACTTAATTATGAAGTGCGTAGCAATTTTCGTATAGAAAAAATAGAAAGAAATTTGGATAAAGAACATTTAAATAAAACCGCCATTTAATTTAATTAATATTAGAACCATGACACCAACAATTATTCCAAAATATTTAGGTATAGATCTATTGTATTGAATTAAGACCACTCATCGTCCGAAATATTCCACGAGAAATTTATAAATAATCAAGCCTTAAAAATGTCAGAATATTGATGAAAATATTAAATATGTGGCACCCTGTCAGACTTTCTGATTACTAAATGAATCCCAGATCGGAAATTAATAGAAAGTAAAGTTTCCGTTATAACTTTGTTAATATTAAATTTGCTGACGAAAATCCACCTGTTTTTCTAATAAAGAGTCAATCAATTGAAGGTAATGTTTTAATAAAGGCAGACGCTTGTTTATTGCAGACGATAAATATTTCCATTAAACTGTAAGATATATCGACCAGATGTCGTCTTATTGTCCTATTTAGACTATTGAAACAGCCTAATATCGCGTTGTTTGTATATATTGTGCTTTCATTCGGATTAAACGTTTCATTCTAAAGTTTTGATTTCATCAGAGAGGCAATTAAAGTTTTCGTTTGGGATTAGAATTGTCAACGTACAACAAATTTCAGGCAATGATTCTTCTGTAACTTATACGATCACGTGTTTGTATAACAAATGTCCGTGTCCGCGTTTATACTATAGTAATAGTTGCTCTACGGTGAACAAGGTACCGTGACAAGCTTCCGGTTGAATAGATGACGTCACATTTACCACTTCCGCCCGCCTTGTGTCGACCATTTAATAAAAAAGTGGTTTGGCTTTTTCCCCTCTTCTCTAAACCTGTGCCATTTGTCTTACAAAATGGTTTATTTTTACAGCATTTAGAGTCCCTTAATTCAAACTAAAAATTGTGAAGGAAATGATACATGGAATTGCATGTTAATTTGTTATTATGTATTGTGATCACCAATAAAAAATCCAACATAATACAGAAGTAAAGACTTATGTATAAGTTATCTGCCCTTGAAATGACCTTAAATAAGTAAATCATTCCGATTCAATGGCAGATAACTCAAAAGTAAGATATGTGACACATAACTTTTTTCGCTCAAAATATTTCTGTGATCATATTCTAACCTCATGCCAAGTTCAAAGAAATTCTATCGGACAGTTTTAGTTCTGCCGGTTAAGGTAATAATTATATCAACATTATAATAATATCAGAGGAATAGATTTGTCCATTTAATTGTAAAATAAAATTAATTGCCATTCCAAATTCAACGCTTCGATTAATTAATTAATTAAAAATTAATTGATTAAAACAGTAGTACACGTAAAAAGTGCGAACATTTTGTCTTAAAGCTTCATGCCTCCAAAAATATTTCAAGAAAATCAAACTCAAAAGAAAAAAAATGTGCCATGATCTTGAGAAAAGTAAAAAGATTCAAGATTCGTGTTATATGCGATTAATGACTCTCTTAATTTTTTGCAGTATTTATACCCATATTTCTACTACGTGACAATAACGTAATAAGGGCTAATTTTTGCATATTTGACCTCTTTTAACTGATTTACATGGATCGTAAGTGCTGCTTGCAATGTGTGTTCACTTCACAATAGTTAACCTTCACAATAGTTAACCTTTAGATACATTAAAAAAAAATTTCATGAAATTTAGCATAAATCTGAAAGCATGCTGCTTCAAACATAGTTATATACCATATTTTTTTAAAAGCTAAGATGATGCAACTCGTAAGAATAAACATAAATTGAACTATGTCGATTTTTTTACACTAATATGTCTAACAAAGGTACGTCATGGTGTTACTTTCAAGTGACTTATATTTACTTACTTATATTATCGATGTATCGGGGAATAAAATAAACATAGTTAATTTGGATTAAAATAACATGCTATAGTATGGCCAATTAGACCTTTACAATAATTTATTCACCACGCATTGTGTTTTGAAACGTTCCATTAACCTGTTGTTGTTATTTTTCCTTTGTTGATGTTTATTTATAAAGCGATCTATTATTGCTTAAAGAAATCCAAGTTCTACATTATACATATACACTTGTATTGAGATTCATAAGGTTAGGTTATTTTTTTTTACCAAGTTCGACTTTTATGTCCAAAAGGAACTGCGCCAAATCATTCAGTTATCTTAAAACACTTATGAGTTTTACGATTTTATTCAAAATTAAAAAGATCTATATATATTTTAGGATGTTGCACGTCAGGCGGTCTAATTACATTGTATTTGTTTTTCTTGTTTTTCTCTTTCTTTCTTTCTTTCTTTCTTTCTTTCTTTCTTTCTTTCTTTCCTTCTTTAAGAAAAAAGAAAATGGATTTTTATTTAGAAATGGGTATATGGCAGCAAAAAATGTATGTTTTAATGATCATTTGATAACCGTGTTTTTAGTCGGCAGTTTTTTTTTTTTTTTTTTTTTTTCGTTTGATGAAATAAGATTTAGTCCCGGAAAACACGCGCGTGATGTCGTATATAATACTTTTTTTAAGCCCGAGGTGATACTAATAAATCATAAAAAGGGTATTACATGAAACAAAATACTTACAGTTCGTCAAGTTTAGCACCGCGTCCACTTTCTGACGTCACGCTGCATATGGAGTTGGACCTCGCCGATCGTACTGAGCGAGGCATGGCTGTGTTGTCTAGGTTTTGTCTGTGAACAGTAGGCTCAATCCTCTAAATTCTCACCACACCGTCTTCAGTAATGCCACACCACGTCTTTAATAATACCACACCACGTCCTAATAATGCCACACTTCGGCTTAATAATGGCACAATGTTAATTTAATTCCATATTTCTCAGGATTTCCTTTTGTTGTTTTTTTTTCGTGTTTTTTTCCTCTAAAATCGCTTCAATTTATTTTTAATTTCAATCTTTACTTATCGAGCATCTGGCGTTAAGAAAGGGAGGAATCTTTAGACCCGGTTTCTATACACAAATATTCACAATCGATTCAGTTTTAAAAGATGCAAACAAAACGGATAATCCATCCATTAGACGCATTGAAAATAAACAAGGCTTTATTTGAGGAATATCTTACAGTCCTCATAAATGTAATATCAAGATGAAATTAGATCGTGTTAACAATAGGTGAAGTCTTGTATCTATTGACACTGCGGAGATAGTACCGTACAGATTTTATTATAGCCCGATCATTTATTATATTACAGAATACCCCCGCTTCAAAGCATGCATTTAAAGAAATAGAAAAGAAAATTAATACCTTTACTGTCACTTTATATACGCTGAATTAATTAAAATTAGAAAAACCTGTTTAAACATATAGGCGCAGTATCCATAAATGATAAAATATAAGTTTTATAAATTAAATTCAGAGAATATATTGCATTGTGCCTTATCGTCACAAACCCTCGTGTTAAAATAGACGCTTTAGAGAAATCATTGTGACATGCATTATTTTAGGATTTATGTTTTCTAGTTATTATATTGACATTATACAAAGACCGTAATAAAAAGCTCTTAACTCTCAAATGAAAATCTATTAAAGTATAAATTATATCAACGTAAAACGATGGCCTATTGATTTAATTGAAGTACTTCAATTATTACCCTGTGAAAAGGAATGCGTTGTTGGGTAAAATAGGATTTCCTTTCTACCATTTATTCCTTTTATCTGTACCGCCTGAAAATCAACACCATATTAATTGTATTGACAATTCATATTCAAATATCTCTGGAGCATTACATAAACGTTTATGAAATTACAAGCGTATTCAAGTAATCTCCCCTACTGGTTGGAGAGATAACTCCGACGCATAGATAACCCCGACACTTGATAAATATAATTGTTATAACTTTGTTTTTCAACAAACAAGCACATGGTCACCTAAAAGTATAGAAGCAGGACCTAATGGGATGATTTTTTTATAATTTGGTAATTTTTTTAATGTTTTTAAAATAACCTAGACTTTTCATAGGCAAATTTAAAACTGCTTCAAAACGTTCTTTTTACTTAATTACAATAAGATAGTTAGAAATGTATTGACCACAGGCCACTGGCTTGGGAAAGATTTTTGAAAAATTGTTTAAATATTCACAAAAACTAGATAAAACATATAAAATGTAAAAATAAATTATTGATGCAGATTTTCCAGTCATTTTTTACTTAAAAAATTAAGTGTCGACTTTATCTACTGCTGTGGGGTAAAAAGACCATTTTTGTATACCTCTTTCAGAAACTTAAAGAAGTACCAGATTCCATTTTCATACATAATTTTTGTAGTATAAAGTAAAGACTTTGAACTGAACTTTGTTTCGGCGTTTCAATATTTAAAATATACAGGAAGATTGCAAAAAATGTGTGATTTAGTGTCGTAGTTTTCTCTCCAACCAGTAGGTTTCAAATATCTATAGCAATCTTGCAGGATTTTAAACACTGATCGAAAAGCGCATTAAAGTTATCTCCCGTGATTGACAATACCGCAAATCGTATTGCCCTAATTTATAATACTGAAGGCGCATTCAAGTTCTCCCCCATCCACTGATTCAAATTACTGGAAAACGGCCTCTTTTTACCTCCCCTGATTTAATAGTAGCCTTCGCCTAGTGGTGCCACGCTCGACATTTTCTTATTTCTAACACATCAGGGGAACAATATTAAAGTAATGAGTAATCCTACAAAACATAATTGTTTGGTAACAAGTAAATCATATTTGACCTTGACTGTCAGTCATAAAAAGGTCAAGGTCACATTTGAATTAATCACTATGTCAATTTAGTCAAATGTGTAGTTTTGTTCAAGAATGAATCAAATCCATAAGTAAAACATTTTATGACAATGCAAATTTCAAAAAATTTGATTTTGACCTTGACCATCAAGGTCAAATCAGAATAATTCAACATGTCCCTTTTGTCATACCTGTTCTTTTGTCCATGTTTGTAAATAAATGACACCGTTAAGACAATGTAAGCAAATTTCAATAATTTGACAAGGTCAATTAAAGGTCAAGGTCATATCAAAATAATACAACATCTCTGTTTTGTCATGTGTTTTTTTGTCCAAGTATTAATCAAATCCATAAACAAATAACATAGCTTTCACAAATTGTATAAAAAATTCACTAACTTGACCTTGACCTGAGAGTGAAGGTCAAATTAAGGTCAAGTTCAATTAAATCTTTTTATTAAAGTTTTGTCCTAAGGATTGCTGTGCATAAATATGAAAGCAATACATTCATTAATTACAAAGTTATAGCTTTTTCCAGTGTAGCACTTATTTCTAAACTACTAACTACTTGTGACCTTAGATTAACCATAAAATACTAAATACCAAGTTGTTATTAAAGTAAATATTAGCATACTTATTCTGAAACATCATATATTGTTTAACTCCTACCCTACTGATTTTCTTAAATGGACTTGTCCAGTTTTTAATCTGGACACACCCATTTATTATATTTAGGGAAAATTTCAAACTATTTACCAGTAGCTTACCAAGTTCAACACTCAAAGAATTCCACAGCATTGAAATAAAAGACAAAAACATTGTTTACACTGAATATATTACTCTTGAACTTTATGCAAACAATGGTAAAATAAATGCACAGCATTGTTATAAATTATAAATCTAAATTTGTTAAAAGTCACTGTCATTTTTCTCAAATGCAGATATCATGGGTCAGTCTCCATGCTATGCTCCATTATGGTCAAACATTAAACAACCAAACATCAAACAATATGATACAAGAAAAGTTCCTAAGATCTTGAAACATGAAACTCTACAGGATGTTCCATTTCAACAAAATATTGAACTAAAGTCATATGCTCCTTTTTCATAAACATCTCAAGAATATTCTATATCAGCCAAACACTGTGCTAAAGTCATATGTTCCTTTTTCATAAACAACTAATGAATGTTCCATTTCAGTTAAGTTAAAAAGTTCCAGAGATTTTGTTACGCGAAATTGTTTAGAATGTTCCATTTTCGTCAAACATTCAACCAAGTTTTTAAGATCTTGTTACATAAAATTAATTTTCACAGAATGTTCTATTTAAGCCAAACATTAAAGTTAGAGCCTGTGACTTCAAATTTGGATTATAATGTTCATTTAAGTCAAACATCAAAATAACTTCCTATATTATGTTACATACAATTCTACAGAAGTTCATGGTGACATTTTAGGTTTATTTATGGAGGAAGACCTTCTGTCTTATGTAAGTGAGTTTTAATGTTTTCTATTTCTGTTCCATTCCATCCAAGAATGAAAGCCATTTGCTCAAATTCAGTGATAAAGTACTCTTAGCATTCCAGCAAACAACTAGACATTATCTATATTGTGTTTAAAATCTTCTTCTATGCTTGTATGTTTATAAATGTTCCATTTCTGTAAAGCACAAAACATTTCAGTTGGATTTTCCAATATGATGATCTCTTATTCTGCAGAATGGATGTTCCATGACAAGTATCCCCTGTTCCATGTTCAAATGTCAGCCAAGAACAAAAATCATTTGCTAACATGCAGTTATTAGAAATTACGCATGATGTTCCATGATAAGGATCCTATGATGCATAACTTGATAATGTGTTCCATTTCAGCCAAGATCAAAAATTAATAGCTAAGATCCAGTCATTTATAGAAATTATGCAGGATGTTCCTTTCAGAATTGAATAGAAAACAATTGGTGGTTGACAATTTTACAAAATGATGTTCCAGTTTTAACCAAGAAGAAAAACCAGTTACATGGATCTCTGGTCATACATAAATCTACAGGATGTTCCATTTTCAGGAGAAACATCAAGCTGCTTACATCTAGTGCTTATATGATACTATAGAGTGTTCCATTCAGCCATAAAAACACAAGAACCAATAAACTGCTATGGTGCTGTTATATATAACTTGATGAGATGTTCTGTTTGTGCTGGGAACTTGGTAACTGGACACTTTTTATATTCCTTCACGTAGTCGTATATACACGGGTAGCAAAACACATACCTGTAAATATACATAACAGTTTAATATATCAGTGATATAAGTCAGGGTTTACACCAAAACTTTTGTATTTTAGATGAGTATTAAGTCTTTATAAAACTTGACACATATAAACAGTCAATCTGAGAATTTGAGGAGTAATTAACTACATGTATATGCATTTTAGCTTCTGTTACAGATAGCCTCAGTGGTCACCTAATTTAAAACCATTTGCTTATCATAAAATTGAGGTTTTATTTCTTGGCATGGCTGTTTAATTATATTATGCGAGAAAATTGTTTAACTGACTTGCTTGTTTTAGGTGATTTTTACCTGGCCGGAAACAAAGCATGAAATTTAATGTGTATCTAGGGCCTTTCTCAACAAGTCACCTCTATGTATGACATAATAATTAAAATGCCTTCAGTGATTAATGAGTTATTAGAGTTATGACGATGCAGTAATGGTTTTCATGAAATATTACACTGATGACAGGACCAGTATGGCAGCCCCATTATGATTATTCTTTGACTAATTATAGCTATAATACATTGTACTTCTAATTTTATCTTTTTAATACTGAAATCCCTTGAATGAACAATGGACTGTACCAAACATTCAATTCTACAAAATACAAATTTAGTGGTGTAAATAAAAAGATTATACTCTAAATGTCTTACCCGGACACTGACAGGGCAGTATCATTTGACCTAGTTCTGTGACATATCGGGCAAATATTAAACTGTGTCGCCTCTGATGATGAATCCCTCTACAAGACAAGAAAATAAATTCTGAATTATAGTACATGTTGCTTTCAAAAAGGAAATTGTTTATTAAACTTAAATTGTAAAGGTCACATGTCTAAAATCGGGAGCCTATTTATACCTTATTTCAGACATGTATGAACCTATAAGATCTATCAACTTTCTATAAGGTAGATTGATAGTTTCCTTACATGAAAATATGAAATGATTCAAAGTCCATTTAAACTCAGAACTGTGAAAATTCATCAAATAAAATTGAACAATACATGTATATTTTAATAGATGAAACATGGATGTGCTATTGTTTTTAAAGCTTAATCAAGATTTTGTTCAGGTGGCTAAACAGAATATAGTTTAAGTATAAATGTTTGAATCAAGCTCATATTAGATTTATACACGTAACAGTGCATGTTTGTTATGTCCAATTTAACCCAAGTGTCAATAAATCTTTACTACTAGACATTATACACATAAAGGGAGGTAACAAATTAATACACTCAAAATCTTTTATTGCTATGTTGTTCAAACATTCAAGAATAAAGAAAGAAGCTAATGTAACAACAACAGTGAATGGTGCTTTTTTCAAACAAAAATGTTTGAATCTAAAAATGGAGTTTTACGAATCTAAAATAATTTTCGCATTATGATTGCAAAACTTTGGACAAATTTGCAGTGTCTATTCTAGGAGGGGGCATGGGGTGATTCACTTATATTTTTGAGAATTCCCCCATATTTTTTCAGAGGCAGGGGGTCAACAAATGTAATAAATTCTCACTTGGAGATATAAATCCCCCCCCCCCCCCATTGAATCCTAGAAAAGACACTGATTTGCATGTCTTATTTAGTGGTGTTTATAAGAGTTACCATATAATAATTATAAATAATATTACCTCAGGAGGGTCAGGTACTGGTAATGATGTTAAAGATTTATGGCTAGTTTCACTAGTGTACCACCAATCTAAAAACTGTATGAAGAAAAGCCCCACTGACAGACTGGTGGAGACAGAGACAGCTGTAAAGTTCAACAACTTCTTCACAACTAACACCAGCTTCTCTTGTAAACTGAAAACAGAAAGTTAAATTGTTAGCTTATACAATTATTGCTTCTAAAAACAGTAACCAGGAACTGTACTGTAGGGCTAGGCTACTCAATTTTATAACACTTTTGAAATTCAGACTCTGCTTGAAATAACAAGAGTTTCAAATTGCCATGCTAGGTCTACATGCAAGTCATAGAAATGCATTCTATTAACATTTTAGTATGTTAATCTGTGATCTATCAACAAATAAAATATATGTGCACATTTTATTCAAAATGTGAAGTTTTTTTTTTATAAGACTTAGCGTTATATTTTTACAATCAGGCCCACTTGAGAGGCTTTGTGACAAGTGATTAAAAGTTGCCAATGTTAAATAACCGCTGTAGGCAAGAATCCAATCTTTGACCATGTTTCTTTCCTGAAAGGAAGCTATCCTGTTAACTTATTGCAATTGCAAGTTGTTGGATCTACTAATGTGTTTGCGTGTCGTACTCAAGTATGGAGGGACATATGCCAGCTTTTTTCAGTTATGTTTCAAAGTTGTCATATGAGGTTAACAGTGTCTGCTTGACATAATTATCACTCAAAAAATTATTGTAATGTTGCAATTTTAGATCAGCTGGACTCTATCTGAGGACTTTATCTGTTTCTGGCTCTTTTTGGTGGAGCATTCTGTATATTATTTCAACATGGACATATATTAACAAAACTGTATAAAGACATTCCTGACCATGAAAAAGTTTAAAGGTTAAAGCAAAATCTTGATTTCAATGATAATCGATAGGTTAGTTTCTCTCCTCACCATTCTCATACACAAAGAGAGAAGGTAACAGATAACTTTGTTATCTAACATAAATTGTGAGTTTTTATATTATATTCCTTGAGTTTAACACATTATGTTGATATAATATTGTGTACAAAGCAGTTTATACAAACATACCTTAACTGTTGCCATGGTGTTGACCTTGAACTTATGCTATCTCCTTCTTCAAGGTCATTACACAAGGTCACTCCAGTGAGATGTAGAAATGGTGAATGCCAATCACATTTCCCGAACATATAAGCTGTTTGATATGAAAGAACTGCTCCCTCCCACACTGTGTGTACATAGGGATATACTGCTACAAATGTCTTGCTTAACCTTGACATCTCCTTAACAACAGATAAACAATGATTAATTGATTATTACCACCGGTATGGAGCCAGGCCAGCCAACACTGTTACTGTTAATTGAATAAATGGACATGTTGATATACCCAAAACTTATATTGAAACTGCCAAAGTGGAAACTAAACATGTCCATTTAAGAAGTTCAACAGTTAAAGAGTTAATTGTACAATAAATAATGGCATGAAATTATATTACCAGTACAAAGATGGTTTAATGCATGTTTTTTTCCCATAGATTATGAAATGTTATAGTAAATGATATCTGGTATTTTCATTTAATATGAGGAGCATTTTCTATGAAGAAAATCTTTTAACTATGTATTGATGTAGATTTTCTTTAGCTATTTTTAGTGATTTTATCATGACATTCGAAATTCCCTGGGTCACCTGTTTCAGTTCATTGAATTTTTATAATCCTATGCCTACTATTATTATTCATCTCTGTATATAATCTGCACAGTTTTTATCAGACACGATAAGTTCCAAGATGTTCAAATTACAAATGTAGGTAATAATTCTTCAATGTCATGTACTATAGTGACATTATCAAATATAGTTACAACTGAAGTAAAACTACAAAATGTATATCTGAATGTTAATATAATTACATATATCATAATGAATAATAATTTCAAAAGAAATACACTCGTGGTATGAAAAATGTACATCACAAGGGAAATCATATCAAAATTTAAGAACTATAGCTATGGCATTGGCTGAAAATTTTGCATTTGTTGTTTATTAGGGGAAAGCTTTTACAAAATTATATTCTCGGTGTATCCATGGTTTAACTCTATGTTAGCCTTCTAGTGGTGCCTACACAATATACCCATGTGACCAGTGCAGACCAAGATAAGCTGAGACATCCATGACATCTGATGATGGTCTGCACTGTTCACTATTCAGTTAGTAACTATTTTGAAAATTTTCCCTTTAAATAATGAATGGTTTTTGTCCGGACTTTAGGATGAACAAGTTCATTTAAGATATTTAGTGTGGTAAGGGTTAAATAATAAGTTATTATTGACTGCTGCAAATGTGTTTTGCATATTAAGTAATTTTAATTAGATTATTGAAAATTTTACCTGGTTCCCAGCATAAGTATTATATACATGTCTCAAGTCTTCAAATTTTTCATCCATCTTTTGTTTAATATAAGGCAGTATCACCTAGAAATTGGAAAATATTTTTCTTAATCATTTAAAATGATCATCAAAAGATTTGCAGACTTCAATATTTTCTTCCTGAAATGTTTCTTTTTTTTTCAGAATACATGAAACTATGACTAACATACTGGTAACTTACCTATCAGAATACTGCATGTTTGTAAAGTTTGTTTTTCATGGAATAATCATGAAATTTTTATAATTTATATACACCACTGCAGTCAAGTTATGAAGTAATTTTCATTCCTGCTCTTACAAAGTAATTCTGCTGTATTATAAATGGGTGAGACTTAAAAAAGAGTTGGAGCACCACACTAAATGCCATATTCCAGTTTACACTTGGTTTGTCCATCAAAAATATGTCCAACATGGAAGCTCTTGAGTAAACGATGTAACTGTGATATATTAAATAAGAGTGAGTCATCCAGTTCATCTTTTTATACCGATTTATGAATGAAAAATGAATTGGCGAAAAAAAGCGATAATTTTTGTATTTTGTGATCATGATTTCTGCAACTGCTCTAACACTGTAGTGAGTTTAATCCATTAATTAATAACTTGAATACTTCACAGAGAAAAGGAAGAACATTTTAAAAAGTTATAAATATCAATAATTTAAATAAATATCTCAATCTTACCACATAAAATAATGATTTCCAGACAACACCTCTAGGTAGCCGTGATGAACTTGGTGTATCACCATAAACTCTCTTTAAACTGTAGAAATTCTCAGCAAATGTTGCACCTGGTAAAATATTACATAATTTTGTACAAGTTATATCAAAACAGCTTATTCATTAGTTTCAGAAAATGCACCATTTTCTTTAAAGAGAACATTGTACTTGTCTTTGGTGTTATGGGACTAAATAAGAATTCTTTCCTCTCCCTCCCACCTTTAATTTAGTTTCTAATCACTATGTAACAATTCATATCACTCACTGCCACCCAAACCCTCCAATCCAAATTGATGAATGAATAAAAGATACACATAACCCAAATATAAAAAGACAACATCAGATTATTATCAGATAATTTTACTTTAACAGTCAAAATGGTTTCAAATGAAGTATAACAGAGTAGAGTATGAGTGAAAAAAAATCAGAAAAATGCACCATTTTGTCTCATTTAAGTATATACAAATGTATGGCTCAATCAATTTAAATAAATTGAGTATATCTTACAGTATTTTCTAAGGTAGTATTGTTCCAAAAGAAAGTTCAAGGCCGTGTAGACTTCATCATAATGTTGTAACAACCATCCAAATCTTTCTGGACGATTCTCTGCAGCAACCTGAATTATATATACATGTATTATGATTTTTTATGTTGAAATTTTTTTCTTATAAGTGTAGGTACAGTTAAATTAAACTTGAAATTTATTTCTTATAAGTGTAGGTACAGTTAAATTAAACTTGAAAAATCATCAGGCAGCCACAATGACTGGGGATTGAACACTGAGATCTCCGGAACACTACCAGAGTACACAGCTACATCACTTAATGGTGAATGTCCTGGAAACAAGGCTTTTGGGAATTAGGCCTTCATCAGATTTTATAAAAAATAAAAAATGAAACAAGAGAGTAAGTTAAAATTGCATAAATGCTTTCAATAATACAGTTCTCAAGATTATTTCAATGCAAGAACTTTCATTAAATGTTTTTCCCTAACAGTAATAACCATCCAAAAATTCTGATTTTGTATAAATCTGACCTGAGTGTATGCATAAAAGACGCTGTAGGGATCATCATATATTTAATAAAACATTAGACTTATTGTTATTACATTGTTAAGATTTTAGTTACTGCGATTTAAGTTATACATTAATTAGATATAATTAGTAACACTTTAATATGAAATTTATCTCAGGCCCATTTCTGTTCCTATTGTAGCGATAACCCCTTGAAGTAACTTCAGCTTGTGTACATATTATATGCATGTCATTAATGGTTAAATCTCAGATGATATGGACACCTATAGAGTGGCTTACATGCCCCCTGCATGATATAATGAGGCTTACAACCACTGCACCCTCTTGACACCCTGTGTAACTGAGTTTCACCCAGTCCAAGTTTCACCTGGCTTCTACCTATCTATGTATACTGCAACACTCTCTTTCAAGTATTATGTGCAGCTTTGCCATATATAATAAAAAAATCGCCACTGCCTCCCTACTTTACTAAATGATTAAACAATTAGAGTCAGTGTACCCGGTTCCGCACAGGACCCGGTCCCGCACACTTTCCCATTTTTCATTTTTTCTTGAAAATTCAAATGAATTTATTCAGTTTTCATTTGTGTTTTACTGAACTGGCATGTTTTCAACAGGATATGACATAATCTGGGATCTTGCACCCCAGCCTTTCCCTAAAGAGTGCAGACAAAAATGTAAATACATGTACATGGCTGTGTAGGTCACACATAAAAACATCTTTTTCAGCAATTAAACCATGCTAATTTCTATTTCAATGTTAAGATATTTATAAAATATATATTTGAAAATAAATGTATGTTTTTGTTTTGGCAAATTTGCTGTTAGTTATGAAATATATGCACATGATTTAACTTCTCCCAATAACCAAACGTCAAGTCATTTCACTTTGATTATTTTGTTTAAAATGATACCAAACTCTTAATCGAACAAGTCATAACTAAACAGATGAAAAAACCCTCAATAATATTGTTTTATGTCTGTGTTTACTACCTACAAGTGGTAAAAAAGTATCTTTCAATTGCTGTTACATGTTTCCTGTGTGCTACTATGCTTGGAAATAAATGTTTGTATACTGTAGTAAGAATGTGCTTTAAATTTATTTGAACTCCTGAAAATTTGCAAAACAATATAACTTATCTGGACTTAGAGATGTTAAATAATTTATAAAACATGTTTAAGATGTACAATAACCTTTCAGTATAAAAGTGGCCTTGTGTGCGGAACCGAGTCCACTATTTATCATATTTGGCCCATACCTGTTGCTTAAAATCAAGTGCGCCTAGAAGTATGACCTACATAAGATAGAAACGTTTTGGTCATCAGTTTTTATGGGCAAAGGATGTAATTTTCAAAATAATATCAATTATAAGAAGATTTTTTAACTATGAGATAATTTTCTTATTTTTCCTCAAAAAGTGTACGACTCCGGGTACACTGACTCTAATGTTATCATGTTATCAAAGCCCTGCTCCCCCCCCCCCCCCCCCCACGCAATTAGTGCTATATAAATTTATCAGACAGATTGAGTTTGCATAATTAAATAGAACTATGTTATAAATGATATAAGTTAATCAGATATAACACTTCATCGTAAATCAATTAATTTATAATAATTACAAATATTACCTCAGTGGTGACACTGATTAATTAGTAACATTTTAGTCAAAACATGTTTACCCTGACTGCATGTTTTATGGCAGGTCTAACCGTCGATATCAGGCTCTCCTGAGCTAAAACTTCAAACACAGAAGGTCGCTCGTGACCTACTGCTGATGTTAAATGTGCACCTTCTGCCATAATTAATGTCTATAAGATAAATTAAAATGTTTTGTTAAACGCGTCAAATCCTACTTTCATTATCGTTTAAGGTCAAAGTTCAATTTATGGGCCGTTATGATAATTTCCGGTTAGCGTTAAAAGCGAAAAGTATATTATTTTAGCGAAAAGAATTTATTCTACAACTGTACAAATGCCTTTTGGTAGCTAGCGGGGTTAATGAAACAGCTTCAACTTCTCTTATTGGTTATTAATTGTTTTTGTTAATAGTAAAATGTAAGTGTAATATTAAAGACAATTCACAGATGTGCTATGCTCAAATTTGATATTAGAAAATATTGATAAAAGGCTACACAGTCTGTTTGATAATATAAAATAAACATGTTAATTTTGACTTCACACAAAGTAGATATGTAATGTTTAAAATTCTACACACTATAGTTGATCCCAGTATGAATATAGTGTCAGTAAAAACTGGCAACTTTTCTAAAGAAAGGGCCAACTTTACTTGACACGTAAAAGGGATCGCGAAACTTCCAATGCATATATAGTTTATTCGTTTTTATTAAATTTAAATTAGACATGTTCTGTAAGAATTTCATAGATTTCAATAAATTTCTTTGATTAAAATATTTTACTCAGGGAGGAGCATAGTATATCTTTAAAGAGTGAGCCTTTAGGATATTTATTATTTTTACTATGTACAACTACAACAATATGTACTTGACAATTAAACTACATTATAGATTGAAAAATTATACTTTTGATATAAAATATATTAAAAAACACAATTAATTACTCCATTTATACCTATATATAATACAAACGGTAATTTTTAAACTTAGTATGGCTGTGCTTTCTGGGTGCCCTGCTGTTGTGGCTGGCTGGAATGTATTGGGGGGGGGGGGGGGGAGGCGCGACCTATATGAACGTTGCCTTTGCCTTGATGATCCCTGTTATCATTTTTTTTGCATTATATAAATATTCAGATCAAACTGAGCTAGATCCTAAATACACTGAATTTGTTTAGGTCTTCAAAATGAATAATTAGGCTTGTAATTTCACATTGTACTGTACACATGCTTGAAACTCATAAAAAGAGAGCTTTGAGAAAAACGTCGCTGGTTATACACAAGCGCTCAAAATCGGGAGCATTTTATACATGTTTATAAAATACGTCCCTGTTAGATTGATGTATGGAGTGGTGCAGTGAATCAATTTTATTTCCGACAAACAGTGCTAGAAATAGATATGGTCGTCACGTGATCTTAATAGTGTTTGCCTGACAAAATAAAAATAGTTAATTCGATTTAATTGTCCATGCTAATTGGATGTATTTGGAAACATAAAATTCAAGTTTTTGAACAAAATACGACCTGTTTCATCTCGTGCATACAGAACATAACATATGCTTTGAAAGAAATTCATTCATATAAGATTTCGTTCAAGATCACATATACAGGTTTAATAATTATTGGTAACAGAGCTCCTGGTTCATTTGATTTCAATTTTTTTTTAGATATTATGATTTTCTAGATCGTGCCGAGCCTAAGTACAATGACGAAAAATTACTTTTCTCTTAATTACCACCGCTGGTCGGACAAAAAATACTATCTAATTAAGTTCTCGCATTGCCCTTCCTACAACAAGCACTCTGGGTTTCTACGTATAGTCATTATCAGAAGTGAAGTACGGGGCAACTTTTTAAGGCTGCAACACAGCACTTGACACCAGCTGTTGTGATGCATAAATATCCGGAAAAATGTGAGTCATCGGAGGCATTAAAAACAGTAAAATTACATGAAAATTGCAGACTCGGTTTTATTGAGTCTGTACATGAGGGATAATGTAAATGTGCAACATCCCTCACGCTCCTAGCACCAGCTTGCACGGTACCCAGTTCTCAACAATTAAAAACCCTGGACTCAGTGATGCCGAAGGACCAGAAAAATATAACAACACTGAAGTGAAGTACGGGACAACTTTTTACGGCTGCCACACAGTATTAATTAAGCCATTAAAACCTCATAAACATTACACGTTGGTTTGTAGTTTTCTGAAGTGATATATATGTCATTGAACAAACATGGAGTATCTTAGGTGTCCAATAATAACGTCTCCTTGCTGAGAAATGGTGTTCAAAAATCTGTTGGCTTAATTGATTTACAAATTTGACTTTTATGGGCATATACATGTATACGGTGCGCAACGTTCTTCATTACAAACAGAATCTTAAGAAGATATGAAAACCAAAGTATGTGTTATAATAAATAGCATGGTGTCACCTGAACTATTTGCTGATTTTCTTTGCATGACCTGGTTATTTCAAATTATCATCATAAACTACTGGCCTCTTAACCATTTCCCTCATGAGCATATTGTGAAAAATGGCCGTTTTCATTGAAAAGCCTCCAGACTGTTACAAGTTCAAACTGCTATGAAAGTATGAAAAATGCTTCAATACTAATCAAACTTGGCACAAATGTTGACTGGATCATTGCCTTTGTAACGACATGCTCAGTATTAAATTTCCTGTTACCATGGCAATGAGGGGACATCTCAAAATTGCCTAAAACACTATTTTGCCTTGATTTTTTCCATCAAAATTTATTTCAAAGTGCTTGAGATAGAGTCAAAGGCTTTTCAGCGGTGGTTACCTTATGATCGACCTGGGGTTTTTTTTAGCCTCTCACAAGTTCAAAATGTTCTTGGCGATGAGGGGGACTACCGCCCCCTTCAAACCCCCCAAACAGAAGGGGACACATCCCCCTTCTGGCAACCCCCTGATGTATCTTTTGGATAGGGGTCGGCGCCGAAAAAGTGCTCATTTTTTTTAGCAACATTTCTCAAACGAAAACATGTGTTTGGGGCCCAAATTTAATAGGACATTTTTTCACTATTTGAGGCCTAAAAGAGGGGGGGGGGGGGAGGCCGAAAGTGCGTTGTTTCGCGTATATATGAGGTAAAGGGTTAACAAAGAAATGATGAAAAACTTTGGAATCACACAAAATCTAGTTTTTCCATGTTAACATGTGCTCTTTCACCTAATTTTGGTGAAAAATTGTTGTTTTGTAACATTTTTAATTTTTTAGTTAAAGAGGAATGATTATGCCCTCTGTGCCTGGTTTGTAAATTATTGCAACTGTGTATAGAGCAATTATTATCAGTGATAAACTATAACACGTGAAACATCAACATTTCTGTCATTTTATAGAGTAAATTACCTTAACAATTAAAATAAAAAAAGGCTTCAAAGAAAATGATTTATAAGCATTATAATAATTATAATCTGTTTACTGCGCTGCAATTTTATCGACACCTAATGCTTGTCTAATTGTTTAACCGCAAATCGTTGTGTAAAACGTGACGAGAATAAAATCGTCCCGGATTTTTTATTATTTTGTTTCACTTGTAATTTGTGGCAATACATCTATGCAAGCTGTCTATAAATGTCAATTTGAATTAACCGCCCTGCATACGCAATGCAAAGAAATATAATAACTTCATTTTTACATCCAAGTGACCAAATAAGTGCGTGCTTAAAATACAAAATGTTGTTTCGAAAAAAAAGGTGAAACGCAAAAGCGCATGCGCAGAAAAAATGCTTAGATTTACAGCTCTTGCACAACAATGCATTTTAAATTATTTAAATAATAATATGCTTGTTTTTATTTAATATCATTTTTACTTATACTACACAAATTAATAGGACGCAAAGAATAAAAATTGAATATTGTTGATTGGACATTGTGTTCACTTTACGATTGGTTTCATAGAGTGTATTAATTACACTCGCTGCCGTCGTGCGATCTTATCATGTTCTTGACCATGTAGCTTATTTTTTTAAAAGATGGTTCGTGTTCGTGAAAAATAAAGAATTTTATTTTGTCCCTATATTTTACAATATTTTATGAGGAATTTGACATTGATACAATGACTTATTTAAGAAAAAAAAATAAAAAAAAAGTAAAAATTCAAGTTTTTCTTTTCAATTATTATTTCAACAAAATAATAATTTGTCGATTTACACTATAGTGGCCATGCATTGCGGTGGTGCTATTTTGTTTAATATATAAACTTCGTCTCACAAAACTATTTATTATTTGATATACATGAAATGGACGAATAATCTATCGCTCGGGCCGGTGCTGGGGGTGGGGGGTGGGGTTCAATATCTCTCATGTACATACTCAATCAAACCAAGTCTGCAATTTTCTATAATTTAGTGCTTCCGAGGGATTACTTTTTCGAGATATTAGATATAAAATATATCATACTGCGTTTTTGTCACAGTAAGCACATAGTTCTAATAGACAAATTTAAATGATTTATTTGAAGAAATAAAATAAAATAAAAAGAGATAAAACAAATAAATTTTGATTCACAGGTCATATTGCTTAACTTCAAATTATACATGTATTGCAATATGATGAAATGATGAATAGGATATGTTTGATAAGTTTGATCCAAAGTTCACAAATAAAATCATAAAACAATCTTAATTTCCATAAAATTTGATAGCCAAAATATATGATATACATAAACATATACACAGGTACCGTTTTTATAAGAGACATTTCCATGTGTTATCTCCATACATCAGTCTATCTGATAAAGTTTTAATGACTTAAAAGGCCCAAGAAATGCTTTTATTTTTAAATATTATTTCTTTTTCTTTTTGATGTCCTGATCGTTTCTTCAGCTTATTTGCCATTTACATTATGCACATGTTGCTTGTTTTGGCAATAAATACAGTTATATGGTGTTTTAGTATTTTGTATGGACAACAAAATACTACTTTATTTACATTTTGATACAATTATGACAAATACTATCATTTTCAGCGCTATTTTTTCATGGATTAGCAGCAAACACCAAAACTATTGTTTAAATAGAATAAAACTCACGTTTGCCCCTTTTAAAGAAGGAAGAAATATTTGTTATAAAATTACGAAAGACCGGTGGGGACATTTCAACTTCATGAATTCCCAATTTCAGCTTCATGAATTCTCGATTTCAACTTCACGAATTCACGATTTCAACTTCATGAATTCATGATTCACGTGAATTCGTGAAGTTGAAATCGTGAATACATGAAGTTGAAATCGTG